TAGAAATGCTGCTGATATTTCTAGTGTGGAAAGATTGTTTCCTCCAGGAGAGAAAAAGATACTCACCATGGAGTATTTCGGGTTATTTCACCATGGGGTCTGAATGTGGGAAGTTCCATCCAGAATCCTAATTAAAACATGGCAAAGGTTGGCATCCTGCTAGATGGAACCCTTCACCTCTCTCCTCTCCTGGAACCTCAGTGAAGATGAACTTAAAAGGCATCATGCCTACTTTCCCACTGATTAATGGGTATAGTTTGCCCTCAGAGTGCTTAGTGGCAAGGGTAACATGCTATGGGACAGACTGCTTCAAAATTGCACCTTTTAAAGATTAGTTCTGCAAGTATTTGCTTCTGGATACCAATCTAGATGAAATTTCATCTGACCAAATGGGGCTATTTTGTTAATGTTGCAGCCCACCTAGATTTATAGCCTACATGACTACAAATGCCTCAGAGTCCAAGCCATGGACAGGAATGATATTATGCTACAGGATGTATAATCAGAATTAAAAACTGATCCTATCCCCAAATAGGTAGGAAAGGTATATGGGGATTAATAGAACAGATGCAGCAATGGTAAAAGGTTGACTGGAAACAGTTCAGCAGGATGCTCTCTGAGATAAGCTTTAGAGGTGTGATGAAACCGTCGTTCATTGCAGATCAACATCTGACCTGCAGCCTTGGCTTCCATTTCTAGTCTGTGGGTCAGCACCCCTTCTTTTAGCTGCCCTCCAGGGTTAAACGATGACAAAACTTCATATTGCTTTCTTTGTATAGTCATTTGGTGCATGTCCTGTTTCACACTTACATGTGGACAGGAGGAGCAGGTGATGTGTGGCCCATCAAGGTTCTGTCTCCCTCCTTATTTTTGCAGTAGGCAAGATAGCTTGGAGGTCCCGATAGACCAGCACCCCTGTCAGCTATTGAGAAAGTAGACAGGATTGGAGGATTTGGGTTACTTTTTGCAGAGTAGACAGCAGCAGATGCATGGGTTACCCTTAGGTAGTGATGTGAACATGCAGAACCAGATAAGGTTGTATACTGGCCTCTTTGAAATACGCATAAACAAGTAGGCTACGCATATGGAATAGTTGCAGTTGTCATGGTGGCTCAGGGTTTTGTTAGGAATTAAATTAGCACAGGATTAGGTGGGAAGAAAGAGAGAGGAGGAAGTAAGGAGCAGCAGTAAAGCTGGTGCATTAGAAGGAGCTTGCACTGTGGAAAGTGCAGGAAACACTGATGGTACCATCACAGTTCACCAACGCCTGCTTAGATGACTTCTGTAGTGGCTTCATCAGATCTTAGTCTGGTTATCTCCTCTTTGCAGTTCATGTTCCAGAGTTCATGTGACTTTGATTTTAGGAAGAGCAAAACCAATGCTAGTCAAGGACTTGGTTTTGCAAGTTTCTGCTTCTATATTAATACAACCGTTTGAAATAAGATTTTTATTGGTTTTTTTCTTAGTGTTTTGTTTAGAAAACCAGAAAGTAACAATGCTTACTGATCTTACTTATTTGAAGATGATGTTTTTTCTATTTTTTCTGAGTTTTGTAAGATCCTGAAATTAACACCAGTCCTCTGTGTAAATTACATGTTCTTGAGAACCTTTTTTCCCTCATGTTTTCAACTTTTGGTTAATGAAAAGATCTATTCAGTGACTGTAAGAGCTACTGAGATTTCTTTTGCTTTCGCTGTCAATATTCACTAACTTTTCTTTAGGTTAATAATACGACATATTTTTCTTAGTATCAGGAACGATACAATCCGGTGCTTTGAATGGTGAGGTTTTTTAGCTATTGCTATAATAACAGGGAGGGAGCTGTCACATTGGTTTTGAATAGATTTGCTGGTGTCTATCTAAGTATAACTTTACACTTATGTAATCATTTTATATGTAGGTGAATAGATCGAGAAACAATGGCTATTTTCTATAATTTTAATGAAAAAGACACGTCTACAAATCCACTTAAGCTTATCTAGTGAAGAGTAGCAATTATTAAATCACTTCCAAATTTGAGACTAATCTAATTAATCTGTGCCTGATGGGCATTTAATGATGTGGATGGTAACCATCTCTACCACATGCTGTCAGTCCTGGCTCCTGCTTCAGTTGCAAGTCAGCTGGGGATGGAAGTGCTAAGAGCCAGCAGTGTGCCAAATGCTGTTCAACGGGTTCTCACTTTGCAATGTCTTCTGGTGATAGACGTAGAGAAGGTCATTTACTTCGCTTCCTCAGATCTCTGTGCACCAGTCAGTGATGACACGCACACCTCTGTCTTCATGAGGGGCAGTTCTTCATATTCATCCCCACTGTATCGCAAGTGCCTGGCATTGCCCAGAACATTGTCGCCTCATTTTAATGTGGGAGCATAATCAAACCCTTTGTCCTGAACTGCTCCATCTTCATTCCTTCCATGTCTATGCAGAAGCATTTGCTTGGAAATAGAGTGGTGAAGTGTGGAACTGCTGGCAGGAGCTTCTTTTTATGAACACTGTGAGCCCCAATAGCTTTGTCCTGCTCCTGCCTCAGTTGCCTCAGGGAGGTCCAAGACTCCATGTAGTATTCTCCAGCATACCTGGATCTCGCTTAAGGCCTAACTCTGCTGAGCTGCTGTCAAATCTACTGCTTATGGAGCCTACCTGGGATCTACTGTTGCTCAAGTCCTGAGGGAAAACTGAGGAAGAGCCAGACATCCAAGTGGAAGGACCCTAGGCCAGTATAGTGGGTATTCTGCTCCATTCCATTTCCACAAGAGAATGTCATAAACATGATCTTCGTCAAAATCAATCTGCAGATTTAAGTCTTGGACAGTGAGTGTTCCTTGGGGGCTTGTGGATTCTTTCTGGTTTCTATAAAGAACAATAAGCTGTAAGTGTTGTGTGAAGAAAGAAAGAAATACATCCTGGTTTTCCAAGTTGTTCGGTATTTAAAAACAAGGTCAGAATGAATTTAATAGATTTCCTGTTTTATTTTGAAAAAAAAAAAAATGTTGCTGATTTAGTTATTTATTTGAAGTCTTGTACCTGAGGAGGTACAAGATACAAGGTACCCACTTGGAGTTAAATTCATGTGTGCGTCTATGCTCAGTTAAGTTCTTTTCTTGCAAAACTGGAGGTGTCCATTTATAGGTTCGAGACATAAACATTAAGTGCTGACAATGTGGATCAGAGTGAACATGTCGCTTATTCTCCGCAACCAGCTAATTACTGCTTAAAAATTGATGAAATTCTGAGGACCATAGAAGTTTTCTGAAGTGCTGTCTGGTGGTTTTCCTTTTTCCTTTCTTGTTCTTTTAATTCTTTTTGCAGCTAACTGAAAACTGTCTCTGTAGGCTTCTTTCTGTTTTCCTTCCAGCTTACTGAAACTTCTTTTCCTTAATGTTACTTTGATAAAGACTCCACTGCTTTAATATATAATTTTCATTGTGACTTTCATTGCTGCAATTAAGTGGCTAATTGAACAGTTTATAACGTGTATGCCTAATTGCTTCTGCAAGAGGTTAACTGTGAAAGGCATAGAAAATTAACACACAAAATGTTGCCAAGGTTACCTTTTACTGAGAAAAGCCTCAGAGATTTTGTTTACTTTGCTCTTTATGGGCAATAAAACTCCTGAAGATGTTTTTAATATGAAACTTCCTGTGATATTAAATCTTACATGTCAACTACAGTGTAATATGCCATAGTTTAAAAAACTTCCATGAAACATAAGCATAGAAAATACATTTGGGGTTTGGGGTCCAACCTGCAGTAAGGGATGTAAGACTGCAGTTAAACTTCCCTTTTCCTGCTTACCTTTCAAAAAATATAGAGCAGCAATTGGGATTTTTTTGGATTGCCTTCAATGAAAACAGAGCAAAACTAATACTAGCCTCTAAGAATACCTTCGATGGGTTTCTCACAGAATAAATAGAAGTTTAATCTGCTTTTGCTATTTATAATACACAGGATTTAGAACAACATTCATTCCAAAAAAATAGTAAAGTTCTTACTGGTCATGTGGAGGGATTTTTCTGGTTGTTCCCTGGACTCTGCACTGGGTGAAATGGAAAGCTGCAGCATGTAAGATCAAACCTAAGAAAAACTTCGGAAAAATATAAAGTTCTCAAATGTATCTTCAGTGTTTTTTTTATACATAAGGCATTATTATAAGGCATTATAATGTCATTTTATTATTATAAAATAATCTAATCATTATTTTATTATACAGATTGTATTTATGATACAGTTACAGCAAAATGAGAGAAGGAAAAAGTAATCCTGTGAATGTAGGAGGAAACTTTTTTGTTTGTATTTAAAACCATTTCTTTATAAGTAAATATTGCAGGCTAAAAAAAAAAAAAGTTGCCTTTACAAGATGTGTGGGGAAATGTTGCAGTTTGAAAATCTTTGTTTTCAAGCAGCTGGGGTTGTAAATGTGTTTTCTGTATACCTTCCCACTTCCTTGTCACCCTGGTGGTAAAAATCAAATAGTTTATTTGAACAGTCTCTGTTGACTAGAAGAACCTGTACAATACTGCTCTTACAAAGGAGCCTTTCTTGTGTTGACCTTCTTCTCCTCTGTGCTTAAATTACTATCCTCCTCTATTTCTCTACCACTTCTGAAATTTACCACTTTCCCTTTTCTAAGTCATACTCACTTTCCTTCTGTAATCCTCTTGGTTGCACACCCTGTACATTTTTAGTCTGGTCCTGGTTTATACTTTTGTTTTCTCCCATACGTCAAGGGAGATCTTGATGGTAATGATGATGGCTAATATTCTTAATCTTTCTAAAACTGAATGCTGACACAAGCAGGTGTCTGCATTGGTTACGGTGGGCAAAGTTTTATTCTACTGGTCTTGCAGAATTTCAGCAGACTGAATGGTCGTCTATATAGATGTCTTTCCTTCTATTACATGTGAATGTTCTATAAGCTTTCAGTTTAGCGAAGTTATCCATACCGTATTTGAATTTTTGCTACCTCCATTAACTCCAATGTGTATTTTTTCCCCACAGGATTTAACAACTCTGAACGCATGTGTGACAAAGAGTTCATAATACGCAGAGCAGCCACGAATCGTGTCCTAAATGTCTTGCGCCACTGGGTCTCCAAGCATTCTCAGGTATTCTCCTCTGGCACTCTTCTTCATCTGTAATAAGTGAACCGGTCCTCCTTACAAAATATTTTTGGGCAATTCTGCTGTATAGCATAGCAAAGGTCAAACAGCCTGGAAAGTAAGCGCTGTATAGATAATAGGGTAAATTAGTTTGTAAAAGCAGAGTGTTAAGCAAGTGAAGAATCATTCAACTAACCTTGCAAAGCTCTCCTGAAAATACCCAGTTACAACTTTATTCCTGGTGACATTGTGTGAGTGCTTTCCTGCTGCAATGTGTGTTGAAATACATACATAATGAGCAGGTTGATTAATTAATCTTACAGATTGTCAACATTCATGGTCTAGGCATTGGTTCAGTTATTTTGAATGGGTTAAAATACTTGTGCTTGCATACAGATCTTTAATTATTTGTTGTGAAGCCTATATGGAAAGAGGGAGCAGTCCTGCATGTCAGGCCCTCTACAACCATGACAGGACTGTGGGTCTGACACATAATCATAAAACTCTGTTGGCAGAGGGAGGGGAAAACAAAGAAATCTGAGCAGCTAGTAGAATTCCATAGATAGCCATGTCCTTTATGGTGCCAAATGATACCAAATTTGCTGATGATACCAAACTGGGAGGGGTGGCTGACACCCTGGAGAGCCGTACTGCCATCCAGCGAGACCTGGACAGGCTGGAGAGGTAGGCAAGGAAGAATCTCATGAGGTTCAACAGGGAGAAGTGTAGGGTCCTGCACCTGGGGAAGAAGAATGTCAGGCACCAATACAGGTTAGGCATGGATCTGCTGGAGACAAGTTCTGAAGAGAAAGATCTGGGGGTCCTGGTAGACAGCAAAATGACAATGAGCAAGCAGTGTGCTCTTGCGGCCAGGAAGGCCAATGGAGTCCTGGGCTGCACAGGGAACAGTGTGGCCAGTAGGTCGAGGGAGGTCATTCTCCCCCTCTGCTCTGCACTGGTGAGGCCACAACTGGAATACTGCATCCAGTTCTGGGCTCCCCAGTTCAAGAGGGACAAGGAGCTACTGGAAAGAGCCCAGTGAAGGGCAACAAAGATGATTAAGGGATTGGAGCATCTCCCTTATGAAGAAAGGCTGAGAGAGCTGGGACTCTTTAGTCTGGAGAAGAGAAGGCTGAGGGGAGACCTTATAACTGCCTAAAGTACCTAAAGGGTGGTTTGAAGGAGGAGGGAGCCAGACTCTTTTCAGCGGTTGCCAGTGAGAGGACAAGGGGTAACAGGCATAAGCTGGGACGTAGGAGGTTCCACTCAAATATGAGAAAAAACTACTTTACAGTGAGGGTGCCAGAGCCCTGGAACAGGCTGCCCAGGGAGGTTGTGGAGTCCCCTTCTCTGGAGATCTTCAAGACCCGCCTGGATGCAGTCCTGAGTAACATGCTCTGACAAGCTCTAGGCAGCCCTGCTTCAGCAGGGGAGTTGGACTAGATGATCTCTGTGGTCCCTTCCAACTCTAAAAGTTCTGTGAAATTCAGTGAAATGAGGTAAATGTTGGAAGATTGGAAGGAAGGAAAGGAAGGAAGGAAGGAAGGAAGGAAGGAAGGAAGTGCATGTTGGAAACAAATGAAAGAGTTTTGTGCACCTTGGATAAATAGTACGTCATGGCAATTATAGACTGCTTTGTCATACATTCTGATAATGAAGAACACTTATCTAAAAGGAGTTTATTGCACAGCTAACTGCTGTATTGTCAAACTGCCCTGTGTCATACTCAGTTCCCTTTCTTCCCATGTAATGGGTTTAATTTTCATAGAGGTTAAGTTTGCTAGAGAATGAAGTCAGTAAGAGATGTGCAAGTGGGAAAATAGGTTGTGTTTGAAAAGCTGAACAGCCCAGAAGAAATTAATAAAATCTCTTTTGGTATCATGGGCATGATTAAACATTTTGAGTTATTGGCAACCACCTAGGTACACCAAGTTCTCTTTGACTACCTGTTAAATTAAAATCATTCCGTGGCAAAATCTTAAGCTGTAACAGGAACAGCACAAGTCTGTTCTGTGTTATGGTAGTGCACTGGTCGTACTTACTGGGTCCCTGACGCTGCCTGTATTCAGTAACTGCGTTGAGTTGATGGCCTATATTAATTAAAAGACAGTTAACTAGTGTGATGGTGAAAATGTTAGGAGTCATCAGACTTTTGTTCTACATTGAGCAACCCTCTACATCTAGTTACACTGAAGTTTAAGTTTCAGAGCTGGCCCTGATTGTGATGATTCTCTGTCATAAACTCAAAGTAACTGTGAAGAGTGCAAGCTCTATCATTGCAGCAATTTACCAAAAATTTACTTTGTCTTCTTAAAAATACCTGTTCTCTCCATTTCAAAAGTACCCATGATATGCAGAAATATAACATTGTCCTGAATACTTTTGCACACACTTTTGCATAGTGTTTACAATTAGTATTCCTTTAAAAATATTGAGTACAAAGTTAATGAGTAAAAAATCAACAAATGTGCATTTTCAAAGTACAAGCTATTACCTGGACTCCCTCGTCTCTCACTGCCTTTTATTTTTCTTATGGCAAGGGTGGCAGATTTTAATTCTCTAGCTTTCTTAATCCAGTATTCCAATATAGCAAATATTTTAAAATGCCAGGGCTTTGGAATAAAGAGTAATGAATGCTAGACCAACAGAGCATATAATCAGCTTTTTGTGGTGTTTACTTGTGAGACTAGGGAGAGAGAAAGGACAGAAGACCTCAGTAAACCAGAAATGACTGAGTAGTTTCTGCCAAAAAAAATATGGGACAGGGCTGCTTTAAGAAAGGCAAGTGAAGAATTGCTGTCTGGCCAAATTGTATGAAATGTTGGCAGTAAAGATGTATAGTCCTGGGAGAGCAGTAGCTCAGAGCCTCATTTTACAGTAATAACACAAACTAAAGACCAGAGAACCCTTAGCCACCACTGTCTGGTGAAGAAATGCTTATTAGATTTCCAAAATGACCAAACAATGTAAGCATTAAAATTCAATGAGATCAACAGACCTGCCAAAAACTTTATTACATTGTAAGGTATTTGCATCATTCTCTGGCCACTTAGTGCATTTGAGACATCCTTTACCTTCAGCAGCGGCCAAGGACAGGTTTGATTCTATTTAAAAAAAAAAAAAGAGTTAACAAAGTAAGTTTGTATTCACAAAGATAAATATCGAATTCAGTATGTGTTGCTGATAGTGTTTTCTCTCCACTTGGCTTTGAATTTGCTTTTGCTGCAAAAACTCCCAGCAACAAATAGGCAATTTCTGTCCTCTGTGGGAGAATTTTCTCCCACTGTCTGGTAGACTGTTCCTCTTGTGATCCTTGTGATCATTGCTAGCCTGCATCACTATAAAAGGTGACCTACTGTGCTCATTTTTTTTTTTTTCTGCTGAAATGCCATTTCCTTATTACTAGATGCAAAGAGAAGGAAAGACATTAGATGGATAAACTGTGGGGCTTTCCTGAGTTCTCTTTTTAGGGTGAGAGATGCTACTACAGCCATGCTTAGAGCTGCAGCATGAGAGTGACCCTGCGGCACAACTAACTCTGTTCTGCTGCTCTCTGATCCACCAGTGACAGCCAATTCTCTACAAGTTACTTGTCTGCCTAAATTATTGCACTGATGTCTTGTGTTCTAGTGCCCAGAGCACTTGAGGTGCTGCACAGTCACAGGCAAGGGGGGCAGGCTGTGTTCGGAAATGTGTGCAAAGTAGAAGCACTAACATACAACTGTCTGTTAGAAGTGCTCTTACATATATCATCCCACTTAGTTATTCCCTGCCCTCCATCCGTCCCTCTGGATCCCTTTGGCTTGCTTGAGCGTGCTGCTCTCAAGTGCATAATAACACGGGTCAGGGTTAGTGCATGAACCCCGGGATAGAGGAATTATCCAAACAAATGGTTTAAAGCCTTCTGTTTCCTCACTTTTTTTTTTTCTAGCAAATCCTTGGCCAGGCTTTGGAGGGCCTTTTCTCTGCTGGGCTATGGAATGAATTAGCTTCCTCAATAATCTCGCACATCTTGCAACTGTGTAAAAAAACACCGTTTTGGATGTTTTCAGGGTTGTTTTTTTGTTTAAAGCATTTGGTTTTTAAAATCTATCTGAGCATGGACAGTATTTAATATGTAAACTTGTCTGTGGCCAGAAAACAGAATTATTAAAATTAACAATTCAGCCAACTTAGTGAGGGTGTGCTTCATAAAGCGGTTTCGTTATCTTGAAATCATGCTAAACAATGCTTAGAAAAAGGATTTTTTATTTTTAAGACTTGGGTCATACGCTGTAGAAGCCTCACTTAAATTCCATGTAAAAATATGGTGATAATGCCAAACCTGCAGCCCTTCCAGGAGGGCAGAAGGAACTAATTAATGTCTTCAGGAGCTCCCAAGGTACAGATAAAAATTTTGAAGAAAACATCTTCACAGATTGTGACGCATACTTTTTGGTTTTTACCACACTGAGCAAGAGTAATCAAACCTTTTCTGTTCATCAGCCAAAACCAGCATAGGATGAAAGATGGCTTGTTTAGGTTTTCTGGGGTTTTTTTATTTATATTTTTTTGTTCTTTTCATTCCCTATCCCTCCTTTTTTTTTCCCTACTCTTCTCTGTCTTTTTCATTCAGCCACCTACAAGCCAACAAAGATTTCTTTTTGCCCAAAATAACAGCAGAACGTTCATGTTTACATTTTGTTTTTAAAATGTGATTGAGAGGAACAGCGTAGGATTCTCCTGTTGTAAACAATGAAAACACAAATGACGAGGCAGACAGTCATTGTGAAGACAGCAGCGTTGATGGGAACGGAAAGGGCTTGAGAGGATAAAACTCCCACTGACTCCTGTAGAGATGGAAAAATAGGAAGGGAAAAGGAGGCCGAGAGGAGGAACTCTCTGTATGATTTTCCTTATCCTAGTGAGGTCGTGCAGCCTCGTTTTCTTTGTTTAACAATGCTTTCATATCTTTTATCTAAACACTTCATGTTACAAAATCAAAGTTTTTTTTCTGCTTCTGTGGG